TTCTTAATCAAGAAAATTCTAATTATGAACCTTCTATTCATTCCTCTAATACTTCTTCAAACTCAGATAAAGAAATTTGTGGTTGTAAAACTATAATTTTTTTTATCTCGAGAAGAAGAAGTTATTCAAGATATTTTAGATAGGATTGATAATCCTGATCTCAAGAAAAAATTCTCCTCCCTTTTACCTTCTACTTCAAAACAAGATTTTGATGATATCAATATCAATCAAATTCTTAAACGTGCTCAAAAGGAATTTTCAAAGGGTTCTAAATCTTCTATTCGTGATCTTTAAGAAGAGATTAAAAGTATGAAAATTCAAATCTCATATCTTGAAAATCAAGTTAAAGAAATTCACAGGGAAGTCGTTTGTATGAAAGCAAAAGATTTAAATGATGAATTTTATTCAAAATTCAAAGGAAAATTGAAAGTTTCTTCTAAGCGATCTTCAAAACACTCTAAATCCTCATCTGATTGCTCATTAGATTCTGATTTCAAAATTCTTAAATTTGAAGAAGAAAAAGTTAATGTTATTAACTAAATTCAACTTCAAAAATGGTACTGTATTATGACCATTGTTGTCAATAAAGAATTCAAATTCACAACTCGTGTTCTTATTGATTTAGGAATATATCAAAATTGTATCAAAGAAGGCTTGATTCCTACAAAATACTTTGAAAAAACTGCTAGGCATCTTTATGGTGCTAGTGAAAAAAAGCTTAATATTAATTATAAAATTTCAAAAGCTCATGTTTGTAATTCAAATATTTGTTTCAAAAATATTTTTTTATCTTGTAAAAGATCTTGATCAAGAAGTTATTCTTGGAACTCCTTTTATTGTTCAAATTTATCCTTTTAAAGTTGATGCTAAAAGATTAAGCACAAAAGTTTTTGGTCAAAAAATATTTTTTGAATTTACAAATTTTCCTTCTTATAAAGATATCAATTCTTTAAAAGAAGCTGCTATTTCAAAAATTATCAATAATATTAATTTAAAACAAAATCATATTCAATTTCTTAAATAAGAAATTCAATTTCAAAAAATGGAAAAAAGATTGCAAGAATCTTTTCTTCAAGAAAAAATTTCAGAATTACAAAATAAAATTGAAAAAGAAATTTGTTCAACTATTCCAAATGCCTTTTGGGATAGAAAAAAATACGTTTTTCTCTTACAATTGTGATTTTCATGAATCAAATATTCCTACAAAATCTCATCCTATTCAAATGAATAAAGAGTTACTTGAGTTTTGTATCAAAGAAATTGATGATTTACTTGAGAAATGTTTAATCAGACCAAGTAAATCTCCATGGAGCTGTTCAGCTTTTTATGTCAATAATTCTACTGAAATTGAACGAGGAGTTCATCGTTTGTTTTCAATTATAAACATCTTAATACTGCTCTTCAATAGATTAGATATCATATTCCTCAAAAAAAAAAGATCTTTTGAACCGTCTTTGCAAAGCTGTCATCTTTTCAAAATTTAATATGAAATCAGATTTCTTGCATATTCAAATTAAAGAAGAAGACATATACAAGACTGTTTTTAATATTCCTTTCAGACAACACGAACGGAATGTTATGCCATTCGGTCTAAAAATGCTCCCTCTGAGTTTCAAAAAATTATGAATGACATTTTCCATCCTTTTCCAAATTTCATTATTATTTATATTGATGATGTTCTTATATTTTCTGAAAATATAGAGCAACATTTCAAGCATATACATGCATTCATTCATATTATTAAGAAAAATGGTTTAGCAGTTTCTGCTAAAAAAATTGTTTTATTTCAAACAAAAATTCGTTTTCTTGGACATTACATTCATAATGGCATTTTAACTCCAATTCAAAGAAATCTTGATTTCATTGACAAATTTTTAGATGAAATCATAGACAAACAGTTTGCGACATTTTTGAAGTTGTGTCAATTATGTGGCTGATTTTATCAAAAGTATACGTAAAATTTGTGCCCAATTATTCAAAAGATTACAAAGCAATCCTGACCTATGGAGTCACGAGCACACAGTTGCAATTCAAAAAGTTAAAAAAAAACAATCAAAAATATTCCTTGTCTTACAATTCTTGACCCCACAGCTTTAATTATTATTGAGACAGATGTCTCGGATATTAGATATGGTGGTGTGTTAAAACAAATTCTACCAGAGTCATATCAAGAACAGTTAGTTAGGTACCACAGTGGTGTGTGGATCGGTCCTCAAAAGAATTACTCTACTATTAAAAAAGAAATTCTTTCAATAGGACTGTGTATTTTAAAATTTCAAGATGATCTTATCAATAAAAAATCTATTTTGAAAACTGATTGCAAAGTCTCAAAAGATATTTTACAAAAAGATGTGAAAAATCTTGTTTCCAAACAAATCTTTGTAAGATGGCAGACTATTTTGTCCTGTTTCGATTTTGAAATTCTTTATGTACAAGGGAAATCAAACTTCATAGCAGACTTTCTTACAAGAGAGTTGGCTCATGAAAAAGAGTGAAAATGAGTTGGGCAAAGTAAGCTGAAGAAGAATATCAAAATCCATTCCAAAAGAAACAAAGTAGAAAGAAAAATTCTAACCCAATTTTCTCAATTAATGATCTCTTAAAAGATCATTCCGGAAAAGAATTTCAAGAAGCTTCATCTTCTTCAAATACCCTTTCTACCTTTATCAAAAAACCCGATCAAAATAAACTCAAAAAAAAAAAGCTACCCCTTCAAATTACAAAAAAGCCGTCCAAAGTTCTGAAAAACTTCCTCAAATAAACCCATCTCAAAATTTTCAATATTTCACCAAAAGTATCTCTGAAAATTGCCTTGATATGGAAATATCTTGGCTTAACAGATACTCAAACTTGGATGAATGTCTTCCAAACATTTTTCCAAAAAATTTCTAGTTTATGCCATCAAATGTCAAAAAATCCCGAGATGATTATGAAACTATCCTTCTAAAAACAAGACCAGTCATAATTTCTCATACTCCCGATCCTCAAAATAAATTAGAAACAATGTATTCAAAAATCAGTATCTTTGGGGTATTGTCCTACGAAGACTAGGGACAAGATCCATGGGAAAAAAAAGAGACTTAAGCTTTCTTCAACAAATTTTTCAACTTTTAAATATTTCAATTATTTTGATTATTTGAATGTTTGGTACAGAGTCTTTTTCTTTTGACATGTTACTCATTTATGGTTCATTCTTTTCAATCAAAATTATCATCCTCATTTTTCAAAATGGTTTCAAACTTGATTTCTGTATCATGGACTTGAAGAGAAAATTTTGCCTAGTCTTACTATTTAAGGATATGAATACTTCAAAAGAGAGGTAAAGCCTCATGAGAATGTTTTGTTTCAATTTACTTTCAATATGAAAGTATCCTGGATCTTTTGTTGAGATTTCTTTCTGCTTCAGAATCAAAATGATGAATTCTTTACTCAAAAGATTACCCGAAGATTTAACGTCAAATGGTGGTCCAAATTCAAGAAAACAAATTGCTGTCCAAAAGCAGTTCAATCATAAATTCAAGAACAAAGAAACTTTGGAGTCCCAAAATTCTCAAAGAAAGAACAAGAATCAGGCAGATTTTCTGACTGAAAAATAAAGGATTATTTCAATGTTATCAAAATGCAAGGATCCGAAAGAATTATTAGAAATTTATTAACAAATTTCTAAAACTAGATCTAAAAAATCAAGCACTCAAGACTCAGATCAAGAATCTCAAAATTCTCAAGTGACAGACAATGGTGATGACCTTATTGATTTAGGGTATGATGATTTTCTTACACATGAGAAGGCTGTAAGAATCAAATGACTACAAGAACCCAATTTTCTTGAAGAATTCAGAAATTATCGGGTTACTAAATCAAAAGATATTCTTTTCAAGATGTGTTGACCAAAATTAACTTTATTAGAGTAAAGTTTCTACTTTTATAAAGTTAGTCAAAAGATGCCAAAAGTGTTGAGAAAAATTCAAGATGTTGTTCCCCACTTCTCAAAAGATGGATCAATTATTCAAAAAAAAGACAAAAGATGACGCTGCTTTCCAAGATTTTTAAAAATGAAGATTTATTTGAAGTCCGAATTTCTCTTTAAGAAGGAAGGTCTTTCTTCATTTCAAGACAGGGCGAATTTGGAATAGAAGTAACACTCTACAAATTCTTGTAATCTCAATTGTATAATCAGATCTTTATCAATGAAAATTTTTTTGTTCAATAATCTCTGATTTATTTTTTGTTTTTAGTTTTATCTTTTCCCTGGGCCTTTTTGGTATCAGAGCCATAAGAGAGTAATGTGAAATTAGAGTCAATAATCTGTAGGCACAAGATCTTTACGAAAACCTTTTTCAAACCTAGACAGCGTTGGTCAGCCTGTGTTGCCCGTGTAGGCGTTGAAGGGTGGTCCCGTTGTAGACTTGGTGAGAACCTATCTATCATATTATTTTGTCTTTACTTTGTTTTACAGTAATTTCATTTTTATTCAATTATGTCTTCAGTAACTAATTGGTTAAGGAGATTGAGATCTAGAAATAGACGAGAAAATCAATTAAACGAAAAACAGAACAAATATTTTCAATCAGAAGAAGAATTGATAATGCATCTGCTTTATCTGCATCAAATGATTTTAATTATCATGAACTTCAAATTGCTCAAATTGAACAACGCCTTCAAAATTGGACTATTCTAAAGATGGATAAACATGCTATCTATGAAATAGGAAAATTTGATTTTTCTCAAAATTATGTTATCAAAACTATACTGTTCACAGGAAGATTCTAGATCTTGATCTCCTTAACCAATTAGTTACTAAAGACATAATTGAATAAAAATGAAATTACTGTAAAATAAAGTAAAGACAAAACAATAGGATAGACAGCAGAAAAGATAATTTCCTTCTTAGTTTGAGAAAGATAATTATCCCACCATTGATCCAGCTGTCCAGGCTGACCAACGCTCAACTGCAGACGTCCAAGTTTGAACAAGGTTTTCCTAAATATTTTGTGCCTGCAGTCAGGCTATGATAAAGTATGTTTATTAGTGACTGAATGGTGTTGTTCTTTACATTGCATGTTTAATTAAGGCCACAAACTCTATATGGAACACTTACTGGAATTGGTTTCTTGACAGGCCTTGAACAAGTTTTTTGATAATGTCTTACAGGTTATCTCAGCCTAAGCTGTTTGTATTTACGTTTCTTTTTTTGAGATAAATACAGAATTTGTAATTGATTAACAAATTATGGTCAATCTCTTGTAGGCATTCCTTAAACACATTGATTTCAAGGTGGTTCGTTGCGCTGTCATTGCAAGTCCAGGGTTCACTAAGGTCTGTCATTTGGAATCAGCAAGCTTTGCTTAGACACTTATTTGTGTCTCTCTCTCTCTCTCTCTCTCTCTCTCTCTCTCTCTCTCTCTCTCTCTATATATATATATATATATATATATATATATATATTATTTATTTATTTATATTTTAATTAATTAATTAATTATTATTATTATTATTTTTTAGGATAATTGATATTGGATAGACAGATTTAAGATCTCAGGAATTTGCATGTAGAAGTGCTGAGCAAGTTGCAAGTGTTCAATCTACACGAGTGGTAGGCAGGAAGACATGATTGAAAGGTGGTCCGCAAAATTCTTTAGAATAGCAGGAAAGAGACTTAACTTCCTCAGGAGAGGTTCAGCTTAGTTCAAGTATAAAAGAAGAAAATAAAGAAATGAAAAAGCATAAAGGAAAAACAAAAGAAAGGAACTCAGCTAAATAACATCATACTATGTATACATCAAAATCGTATATTTCCACCAAAAAGCTAATATGACACTGAAGAAAGGCTCTCATCTGATAATATCTTCCTATCATATACTTAAGAGTAAAATAGTGTGCTTATCAGAATCTTTTTGGCACCCAAAAAAAAAAAAAAAATCCCTCAAATAATACGCTTTCAGGATTACAGAAGTCACAACTAAAGACCAGATTATACAATAAATATTCTTACTGTATTTTGGTAATTACATTAAGGGTCCGTTTGATTGTAAAGATGGAATTGAATTGAAAACGAATTTTAGGGAATTAAATTGTCTAGAAATTATTTTCTTGAGAATTTTAAATTATTGTGTTTGATTAATATAATTTTTCACGTGAAAAATGTTGAAATAAAAGTATTTTTTGATGTTCTTTTGGCTTTGTTTTATATAAAAATTGTCAATTAAATTGATAAAATTTACTCGCATTGGAAATGAAATTTGTTTCCATTGTAAAAAAAAAAAAAAGGATGGAATTTACTAGTATTGGAAATGAAATTTGTTTCCATTGCAAAAATAATTAAAAATAAAAAAATAAAAATCTAGAAAATCATCTATCTTTTGGTACTCGTTTAACTTCGTTTTACATGAAAATTGTCAAGTAAAGGGAAATTTTTTTTACACTAATTCTTACAAATTTTTTTCATTGAAAAAAAATTAAAAAAAAAAATCGCTATAGTAAACCGAAATTAGAATTCTCACCATTCATTGAAAAGCTGGAATTTGCTTCTTCCCAAGACAAGCTAAAAAATGGATTCCCTGGAAAAATAATGGTACCAAACAAGGTAAAGATAAAAAATGGATTGGATTTTCCATGGAAAATTATACACAATCAAACGGAGCTTAAATTCTTGGCATATGCTAGAAAGCATTGCACGGAACCCGAAATCCAGGAGCACCTAACTACGGCACATTGATTTTAAAGTACCATGTCATTTTTACCAGATATTTTCATAATATTATCAAGAAAATACAGATTCCACCATTGAATTTAAACATCATATTTATCCCCCAAAAAAAAAAAAATGAAAAGAATGTAAACATCATAGCAGGGAGTGTAAATATAAAGATTATGGAAAACAAGTGTCCAGTTGGTGTCATGATAGGTGTACCCCACTATTAATGTGCAAGAGTAGTACTCATGAGTCAGATTCGTATAGAAAGAAGGAACTAGTGATAATTGAAACTAATAACAAAATAATAGTCCTCAATTTAAAAGTTTGATTTCAAATAACTATAATCTAGTGGATAATATGGAACTAAGTAAAAGAAAATTTCATGATAATCACTGAAATTGTCAGACCCCAAAAAAAATCTCATTTCTATGTAAGGGAACAGGAGAAAATTGAGAGAAAAACAAGACATCTTGGTTTTTTTTTGGTCATAACTCATAAATATAATTCAATTTGGGCAACTTACAAAAATACCTTTAAAATTATAGGTGTTTTGAAAAATCATATGAAAAGTTTTTTAGAAATAAAAAAATACTTTGTGATATTAAAAAGTGACATAATCTCACTTTTTTTTAAATAAAAATTGTCGCTTTTTAATTTTAAAAAAAAGTGACACAATGTCACTTTTAAAAGTTAAATGCCACTTTTTTATTAAAAATGACATACAATGTCAATTTTATTGAAAAGTGATGTTTGTCACTAAAAAAAGTAATAGAAATCAAGAATGTGACAATAATAATTAAAAAAAAGTGACAAATGCTAAAAAAATTTACAAAAATTCAAAAAAGTGATAGAAATTTAAAAAAAATGACATATTAAAATGTTACACGTATTGAAAAAAGTGACAAATACTCGAAAAGTAACAAAATTCAAAATAAGTGACAAACTCAAAACTGTAAAAAAAAGGTGACACAAATTTTAAAAAAGTGACAGAAAATAAACTTTACATTTGTGCTTTGATAAGTCCATTGAAGCATTGTGCCATTGCCACCATAGGAACTCACAAACTCAGTGTCTCCAATTTATATTTCCCACAAGTAAAATTCGCTTATTTTACTCTTGATAAAAATGAAATCTTTAATTCACTAACTTCATCATTATTTTTCAATTTTACCTACCTATGCCTTATGAGTAAATTGAAAAAATGGGTCCTAAACTTTACTATTCTTTTCCACCCATAGACTTTCTTCAAAGTTCAACATGCAAATTGAACTCACAATGAAGCATACAATACACAAATTGAAGCTTCAAAATCAACTCTAACTTCACCAACTCAAAAATTTTGCAATCCCACTGTCTTTCTTGAGGCAAAGCAAATTTGTTGGCTACTCCAATTAATCACGTTACACCCAACTGACTAAAACCCAATTTACCGTCGGCTACTCCAATTGAAATCATCACACTGAGGCAGCTTGAACAAACTAATCTTGAGTTTTTTGAATAAATTTAATAATATCCTCTGTTCGCTTCCCTTCATACCGCTTCAAGTCACCATTTGCAAATCTGAAGAGAATGGATATTGGAATTCCAACCACTCAATTTCCTTCATCGCAATGCTCTTCACATCTTTGATTAATCATGGCAGGAGATATTCATTTTTTAATTCTTTGCAGGCACTTTCTTCTTCCTTTCCTCTGTGCAATGGGCCCCTTTATTTGCTATTTGGAAATATAATTCCGCATATGCTGCCTCCAACATCGACAGTGGCTGCGGAAGAAGGAGGAAGTTTGTTGTGGAGATGGAGGAACTAAGGTGGGAATATTGTTGCATATGTATTCGGAAGATTAGCTATTACTTGTGGTTGGATCTGTGTGTACCTGTCAAGACGAGGGTGAAAATGAAAATGAAGGGGAGAAAGATGGGTTATAGATCTGGGACGGATTAATTACGAGTTGAATGGTTTGATTAGTTTTAAAAGGGTATTATTCAACGGGAAAATTTCATAACTAAGAGGATAATTGTTATCCATTTCAAAAGTAAGAATACAAGTTTCAAATTTCAAAAATCAGATATTCATTAAATTTTATTTATAATTTAATCAATTAATTATATATTTTATTAATTAAATATATTAAGGTCACGAATCAATTCAATTTGGTCACAGATTCACAATTTAATTTGTCACGTATTATTATTCGATCACAAATCAGAATTTTTAATATCACAAATTATTTTACGGTCACAATTCAAAACTTTTGTATATCACAAATTTGTTCATCGGTCACAGATCAAAAATTTAGAAGTCACAATTTATTTATAGGTTACAGATCATAAATATTATATGTTACAACTTATTAAACTGTTACAAATTATTAATTTTGTAGATCACATATTATTTTTTGATCAAAATTTATCTTTCTTATTGATCACATTGGTCACAGATTAACCAATTTAATGGTTACAATCAACCAATTAATCTGTGATCATCGCCCAACAACCACTGCTTCCAACATCACCAACGCCACCGTCACCGCCACACCAAACAAAATCAATACATCACCGCCATAGCTTTACCCTACAACAACACCCCCACACCACACCACTGCCACATGCACCCCCACCATCCCAAAACCAACAAAAACCACCAGCACAACCGCCAACTCCAACCAATTAATCTGTGACCACCACCAAACAAGATTATCACCACTACCACAACCATCAACAAATTATCGTCCAAACACCAACAACCACCCCAAAACCAACAAACCAATTAACCTGATTAACCACCACCAAACAACCAATTAACTTGATTAGAGAAGCGTTTGCGCGGTGCAAGGAAGGAAGGTGGTTGGACCGGAGAAGATCTCCTATCTCGATCTATGAACATCGGGTATTGAGTCGATCGATTTGAAAAGAGCAGATAATAGGGAGTCCCAACCGTCGGATCGGAGGGTAGAGATAGTAACCTTAGAAAGCTTGCCTCCAAAGTTGAGCTTGATGCGGTTGCCTCCATTGGGTTGGGTGACAAAAGTATTGTTGGGAATTCCGTCCTCCATGTACAATTGTTACTGGGAGCTTACTGCTTGGGATCAGTTCACGATCTGTCGCCGTGAGTGGCAGTGGTGCCAAGGAGGAGTGGCGGCGAAGTCGTGAGTGGCTATGGTAGAGGGAGGAGAGAAGATGAAGAGAAGGGAAAATGGTGGAGGGAGAGACGGTCATGAAGAGAGAGAAAATGGTGGAAATAATTTTAGGGTTTAGGATGAAAATTGTATATTTAATATTTAATATATGATATATCTGATATTTGAAAGGTGAAACTTGCCAACTGATTTTAGAACTCACATTTTGTAAGGTGTAGTTTTGTGTAATTTCCACTTATTCGATTTAGTTAGTTTAGGAGGGTATTTGGCCTAATTTTCCATTCAATTTTCTCCAAGTTCCACACAAACATGGGCGGATCTGGGCTTGGGCAAACATGGGCCCGGGCCCATGTTTGCCCAAGCCCAGATCCAATAACTTTTTTTAAGTTTTAAAATTAGCCCGTGTAAAATTGAAAATCAGCTTGTGTGGTGTAAGTCTAATTGCAACAAAACGAGCAAATGGCCCAACTTTAATTTTTTGGCTTAAACAAAACATAAATTTTATTG